AATATTAAATATTAATAACAATATTAATAATGCATTGGTTTGCATTGCATTATGCATTCACTACAAACACGGCAGTGATAAACTACTGTAGCCACAGCTGCCCTGGGGCACACTGACGGAAGCGAGGCAACCAGTCTGTGCCATTGGCCCCTCCCACCACCACCAACCATTCACACACACACCAGACTCATTCTTCTGTGGTTGAAGTGTCTTGCCTCAGGACATTTCCACAGTTTGGCACCGGCCGCCCCTCTGTGGCTCCTGGTGTTTCCAGATGTCTCCCATCACAGGACTAACCAAGCCCTAGTCTCCTTAGCGCCAGAGTTCTGACAGGATCTGGCTTTAACATGCAGGTGGTGTCAGTAGAGTACAGTTTTGGCCTGCGCTGTTTGCTTCGCTGTCATATTAATAAACTAGCAGCCGATTAGACAGCACTAATGGTGATAAAATAATATTGCGAGAGAACAGATGTTGATGAGTGAGCGGAGCCGAGACCCGTCAGACGCTTCACACTTGATTTGCGAAGGCGCTTCGTCGAATCCTTCGCCGGAATGAGTCAGTGCAGCTGCATTGTAAGCACCAGCATGCTAACATAAACATATGGTTCTGATCAGTCCCATGTGACTCCGGTTCACGGGATCCAAAATCTACTCCCTGGGCCAGCTTCCTTAATGGTGGACCAGGCAGAGGGGTCTCTCTTTCATCTGTCTCTGGTCTCTCTCTCTGGTCTCCCTCTCTGGTCTCTCTTTGATCTTTCTTTGGTCTCCCTTGCTGGTCTCTCTCTGGTCTCTCCATGGTCTCCCTCTCTAGTGTCTCTCTGGTGTCTCTCTCTGATCTTTCTCTGGTCTCTGTCGCTGGTCTCCCTCTCGAATCTCTCTATGGTCTCCCTCTCTGGTGTCTCTCATTCTAGTGTCTGTCTGGTTGTCTCTCTCTGATCTTTTTCTGGTCTCTCGTTCTGGTCTCCCTCTCTGGTCTATCTCTGATCTTTCTCTTGTCTCTCTTCTGGTCTCTCTCGAGTCTCCCTCTCTGATCTTTCTCTGATCTCTCTGGTCTTTCTCTGGTCTCTCTTTCTGGTCTCTCTCTGGTCTCCCTCTCTGGTCTCTCTCTGATCTCTCTGGTCTTCCTCTCTGGTCTCTCTCTTTGATCTCTCTCTGGTCTCTCTCTGGTCTCTCTCTGGTCTCCCTCTCTCTGATCTCTCTGGTCTTCCTCTCTGGTCTCTCTCTTTGATCTCTCTCTGGTCTCTCTCTCGCTCTGTCGTACACACCAGCATTCTGACATATGGTTCCGATCAGTCCCATGTGACTCCGGTTTGCAGGATCCGAAGCTTATTCCCTGGGCCGGCTTCCTTAATGGTGACCAGGCAGAGGGGGAGTGGAGGAAGGGTGGAGGAGGGGGGTCGTGCGGCGAGGCGGACGGAATCAATATGTGATGTGTGTGCGGCTCCGGAGACTGGGCTTCGACGCCACCGCAATCACCACACTGTGATTAGCCGCTAATTGGACATAACAGAATAATTGTGAATTAAAGCGGCACCAGACGCAGCGGTGAAGAGAACATCCAACATTCAGAGGAGGTATCCATTATCACACTCAAGTGGAAGACCCGCTGTTCAAATGTCCAATTATTTAAAGCTGGGGTACGTAACTTTCACACCACAAAAAACAAAAACCTATAATAAAATCCATGTCTCTTGAGAGGACCACCCTGACTCGGCCAATCAGCTCCAACAGAGTCAAACAGTGAATCACAAGGATCTCCCAATGCATAAATCATACTTTAGACAGCTGTTGGCTGTTCGTTGCTATTCACCCGCTGTCCCACTGTACGTTTTATGGTTTGATGATGGGACCCTGAACCCGGCCTCTTTCATCTGCACCTGTGGACTTGGACTGGTCTCCCCAACCCGAACTCGTGGGTTGGACCCCCCTCCCCGACCAGAGAGAGACCACCTCAGTCCTCATTCTACAGCCTTAACTCAACTCAACAAGTGTTTAAAAGTGGGGGAAACCGGAGCACCCAGAGGAAACCTACACTCAGAAAGCCCCTGTCTGGAGGCGGATTCAAACCTATAAGCTTTTTGCAGAGAAGTGAACGCCAACCTCTGTATGCTGTAATTTGCATTAAGTATATTTTTCAGCCAACTAAAACAGATTTAAGGATGAAAGATCAAAGACAGAAACCCTCGCGGCGGCTCGTGTCCAGCCTCTTCTGCAGTCCCCCCCACCCCTTCCTCCCCCATGACAGGACGCTCCACAGCTGTCCTGACAGACACGTAGTGAGGCAACAAAGCACACTGACCGCTGCCTCAGACCCATCCATCATTCCCTGCCTCCCAGAACATACACTCCCCCATCATTGTAAACAGTGGTCCCTCGTTTATCGCGGGGGTGATGTGTTCTAAAAATAACTCACAATTAGCCAAATCTGTTAAGTAGCAGATTTGAGACCAGAGAGACTAGAGAGAGACCAGAGAGAGACTAGAGAGACCAGAGAGAGACCAGAGAGAGACCAGAGAGAGACCAGAGTGAGATCAGAGAGAGAACAGAGAGAGACTAGAGAGACCAGAGAGAGAACATAGAGAGACCAGAGAGAGACCAGAGAGAGACCAGAGAGAGACCAGAGAAATACCAGAGAGAGACCAGAGAGAGAACAGAGAGAGACCAGAGAGAGAACAGAGAGAGACCAGAGAGAGACCAGAGAGAGAACAGAGAGAGACCAGAGAGAGAACAGAGAGAGACCAGAGATAGACCAGAGAGAGACCAGAGAGAGACCAGAGAGAGACCAGAGAGAGACCAGAGAGAGACCAGAGATAGACCAGAGAGAGACCAGAGAGAGACCAGAGAGAGACCAGAGAGAGACCAGAGAGAGATCAGAGAGAGACCAGAGAGAGACCAGAGAGAGACCAGAGAGAGACCAGAGAGAGACCAGAGAGAGACCAGAGAGAGACCAGAGAGAGACCAGAGAGAGACCAGAGAGAGACAGATCAGAGAGAGACCAGAGAGAGACCAGAGAGAGACTAGAGAGAGACCAGAGAGAGACCAGAGAGAGACCAGAGGGAGACCTGAAAGAGACCAGAGAGAGACCAGAGAGAAACCAGAGAGAAACTAGAGAGAGACCAGAGAGAGACCAAAAAAGGTTAGTGTCATGTTATGCTAGTGGTTTTGATGTTGTTAGATTTTACACACGACACATGAGAAACCTGTTAAAAAGCACACACAATAACACCAAAAAGTTTCCGCTACAACTCGGAACATTAGATTGTTGTTTAAAAACGAGTAACAGCATTTGTATTTATTTTCTTTATTTCTACAGTTGGTATTTGGATTTGTTAACAATCCTCTCTATTTCTCGATTTAAAATTCCACAACAGTTTCCAAACTTTGCCGAACAGAAAAGGCGACCAATTCAAGTGTTTTCCAAGGTGCGACCAAGATCAATACATTAGATATTTTGAACAAACCCATTTGGTTTTTAGACATTTCCTTGACCTTTAGAATCTAATTAAAATGGAAATTCAAGGACCGTCTAATTCCAGCAGACGGGAGACCTTTGTGAACGAAGCAGGGCTGGGGAGCGTCTTGTTTTCAGATGATCGAAACGGTTCAAAACAAAGTCGTCCTCTGAACAAGGCCGTGGATCTCAGGTCACACGACACATGGACTGCGTGTCCTTGGAAAGTTTTGACGGAATAACACCAGACTGATGTCAGAGGAGGACGTGGCCTTGCACAGAGACCGCATCTGCAGCTCGGCCTCGGCTCTGCTCGCTTCACGAATCCAGAACACCGGGTCGTCAGTATGAAACTTTAAAGCACAATTTTATACACTCCTGACAGGAATCTGGGATAGATCTACGCTTGTCTTCTTGACAGCTTATAATACAGAAATAATCATTAGCTTGTGTTAAATAATACATAAAATACATATTCAAATATATTGTGCTGCTGAATTAATTAGGTCGAATGCCTGGGTTTATCTTACATCATTAAAACAGAATATACAAGCTAACAAAGTGACAGAACGCTAACACTTACAGTCATTGCTTTTGTAACAACTGTAGATAAGACTTGGTAAATAAGACTTAAATCCAATTCCATTTATTTTTATATAGCTCTAAATAATTTGCCAACACAGATCAGAGAATCAAACAGTTCAAACACAAGAAATAAAACACATTGGTACTGGTCCATAGGGGGCAGATGACCAGTGTGCAGCAGTGTTGATGAATGTCTATATTTGAGTTCCCAGCGGTCTCCCATCAGGGTACTAACCAGACCCTGCCCTGCTTAGCTTCAGAGACAGGATCTGGCTACCACACGCAGGTGGCGCCACAACTTGCTCTCTCCGGTCTCTCTCAATCTCTCTCTGGTCTCTCATTATTTTCATTGAAGGTTTAGTGCTCATGTCTGTGTTTAGAAAGACATTATCAGAACATAAACCCCAGGATCACAGAGACCAGAAGTCAATAGGAACCAGAGTGAGGTAGAGCAAAACCTCCCTATGGGGCGTCATTGAGCTAGCAAGTTAGCGTTGTTAGCATTGTCCATCTGTATACAGTCTATGTTAAAGACGAAGCAACCAAATCGTCAAAAGAAAAAGTCATATTTCTATTTCAGTCCAGGCTGGAGCTACCGCTGTAATGCTGCTGGAGGCCGATCGTGACAGTGTGTAGCCCTGAGGAGAAAAAGCATGCATCCAAAACCAGCCCCATCTCTGTGTCTGCATGTGGGATGTAAACATGTCACCGCAGCCGTGGATGGAAGCGTACCGCCTCTGAAGGGGGTTATATAAGCTTCTGGTTCTGACGCCGGCTTCTGCGGACGTGCCCAGAGTTGGCGATTGGAGGCGAGAGAAGGCGAGAGGAGGCTGGGTCTGCTGCGATCTCGTTTCCAGATGAAAGAACCTCACCACGCTTCGGCTCCGCAGCGGCTTCGGCAGATTACACTGGATTTAGGGCTGATCACAACACCCGACAAGTTTGAGGAGGGGGGGAGGGGGTAGGGTAGAGAGAGAGAACAGGGACGAAAGAGAGAGAGACCAGAGAAATACCAGAGAGAGACCAAAGAAATACCAGAGAGAGAGTAGGGGGAGAGAGGCAGGGGAGAGACCAGAGAGAGACCAGGGAGAGACCAGTTATAGACCAGAGAGACAGGCAGGGGAGAGACCGGAGAGAGACCAGAGAGAGACCAAAGAAATACCAGAGAGAGACCAGAGATAGACCAGAGAGAGATAGGGGTGAGACCTGAGAGACCGGAGAGAGACCAGAGAGGGACCAGAGAGGGACCAGAGAGAGACCAGAAAGAGACCAGTGAGAAAGGCAGGGGAGAGACCTGAGAGACCAGAGAGAGACCAAAGAAATACCAGAGAGAGACCAGTTATAGATCAGAGAGAGAGAGGCAGGGGAGAGACCTGAGAGAGACCGGAAAGAGATGAGAGAGACGAGAAAGACCAGACAGAGAGACCAGAGAGGCACCAAATAAATACCAGAGAGAGACCGGAGAGAAAGGCTGGAGAAGGACCAGAGAGAGAAACCAGAGAAAGAGAGACCAAAGGAATACCAGAGAGAAAAACCAGAGAAAGAGAGGCAGGGTCTGATCTGGAGTGCCATGGATAGAAGAGATTCATCAAAGAAGGCGTGCAGTTAAGACGAACAAAGCAATCGTTCCCTTGACTTTAAAAAATCGAGCTTCAAGGACGGACTAATTAGTGCCAACGAAGACTTGTCGTCACACACAGAGACATGAAAAGTAATTACAGAAAGAATAAGTTCCATAAAAATGCTCTGCCTTGAAAGTATCGCTAAATGTTTTACAGAAACAGTATATTTATTTGTCATCTGCTCCTTATGGACCCATACCAATGTGTTTTATTTCTTGTGTTTGAACGGTTTGATTCTCTGATCTGTGTTGGAGAATTCTAAAGTTTTGTAAAGGCCTCTGAGAAAACTACTGTTGTGATTTAGGCCAATTCAAGAACACATTGATTTGACTTTAAAGCTAGCTTCTATGTCCCAACAGACCTGTCCACAACACGATGTCTTTATCATATAGGAAAACATTATATATTTTTCAGACTGAGAGCTTATTGAATGCGTTATGGCTCTTTTTCACTGTAAAAGTTGATCCAAGGATGTGACAGAGACTAAAAATGGATGTATCTGAAAACGTGTGATAGAACCAAACTGTTTTGAGAGCAAGGAACGGGTTACATAGAGAGAGCTGAAGTCAATAATCTCTGATCGTGAGCTTTGGGTATTGACCGAAAGGACGAGATCGCAATCCCTAAGAGATAGAGATGAGGAGCTTGGTCACACGGGAGGAGCTCGAGGTAGAGCTGCTGCTTCTCCACATCGAGACTAGCCAGATGAAGTAGCTCTGGCATCTGTTTGGGATCCCTCCTGGACGTCTCCCTGGGTGAACTGGGCATGTCCCAACAGAAGGAGACCAGGGGAAGACCCAGGACACAGAGGGAGTGTGTCTCTCAGATGGACTGGGAACCCCTCAGGATTCCCCCAGATGAGCAGGAGCAAGACTGTGTGGAGAGGGACCCAGCAGTGGATAAAGTGGAAGTAAATGGGTGGATGGAGTTTTTGTGGTTTCAAAGTAAGGTACTCTGGCTTTAATAATCAATACTGTTCCTAAAAGTAAAGGTGATGGTAGACTCAACAAAGAGATCGGAGACAAAACCACTGCCACTGAGCCCTTAACCACAGCAGCAGTCGTCAGGGAGGACTTTGCAAAGCTGTCCCCAAAATCAGATCAGAGAATCAAACAGTAAGAACTCAGGAAATACAATAATAATAAACCTTTGGTCCATCGGGGGCGGGATGACCACTGTCCAGAAGCCGTCGATATCTCTGCAGACCCAGAGTCATTTATCACAGGACCTAAAGACGATCTTTCATTTGACTGTTCAGAGATCCATGTAGTTCCACCTGTTCACATCGGGAGACAGAAAAGTGTATCTTAAAGCTGCACTAACTGACTTTGGGAGTTTGAAGCCGTGGACTCGCTGGCCTCTCTCTTTCTGCTCCCCTCCCCGCACCCACGAAGCTATCGCCCCCCACACACACCCACTGTTGGGACGGAGTTAGCGTCTCCCAATATGGATAATACACGAATATGGATTTGCACGTGGATGGCGTGACCATAGAACGATAGAACCGGGAAGAGCGGAGGAACAGGACTTTCTTTTGGATGGCTGTCTCGCTGTGTAAGCAGTAACCGGTGACGAAGACACACTAAGCTTCAGGTTAGCTCCTCGGCTTGTTGTGCTAACTCAGCCGTCTATGCTAACGGACCTGTAGATTTCTCACTAAAGTGGGGGCTAGCGGTGCGCTGCGATTGGTCACAATCCGCGACCCGAAACACATTCTCTTCCTCGTTTCATCAAAACTCGATCTAAAATATAATGTCACGCCAGCACAAATCTGCGCTACTTTTTCTTCAAAATGATGTATATCCCAATGCCCTACATGGACATGGATAGGATTGTAGTAATGAATACAAAAATAAAGTCAGTTAGTGCAGCTTTAACCTCCTTCCAAACGTTGTATTCATGTGTTTTTAGTTGCAATCCCGATGATTGTTTTTGTCTTTCGATACCAGGTTGAAATACATGATTCCTATAACTACACATTGTTTTGTGTGAAGTCTGTCCATCTCACTCTGACCCTCCGGCCTTTCTCCAAGAACAACATCTGAGCTCTGTCTCCGACATGACTCACTGTTTTGTCAAAGTGTGCAATTTCCTGACACTTCTGTCAGAGCCGCTCTCCTGCTCTGAAAACACAGAACGGGTTTAAACGCTCGGATCTCCTACAATTCTGAAGCTAAACAGCAGCGAATTCGAGCAGCAGTCGTTTAGACGGCTCCAATTAAAATCAATGGGAATCTGAAAAAATCCCCAAAAAGTTTTTAGTTAGTAAGTTTTAGTTACTGTAGTCCTTTATCAGGTCTGAATGTAAATGAGAGAGTGAATGGATGGTGTTGGGTCCGAGGCTTTGATGGTCCAGTGTGTTCTGGACCCGCTTCCATCACCATGTGTGGAATGATTGGAACAATATCTGACTCTGAACTTTGTAAAGCGCTTGGGTCTGTGCCTTGGTCTGTAAAATGCGCTATATAAATAAAAATGACTTACTTACTTTATTAAAATCAAGCAAGGTTTTTAATCTTTCAATAAATGCTAAAACTGGGGGGCACGGTGGCTGAGTGGATAGCACTCTCGCCTCTCCCCAAGAAGGTCCTGGGTTCGAATCCCGGTCGGAACAGGGCCTTTCTGAGTGGAGTTTGCATGTTCTCCCCGTGTCTATGTAGGTTTCCTCCGGGTGCTCCAGTTTCCCCTACCACTAAAAACATGTACAAAAGGTCTGGCATGCACCTCCTGTACTGGCCCCGCTCCCATCTCTGTGTGGAGTGAGAGACTAATGCCCAAAAATAACAAGTGTAAAGTGCTTTGTGACTCTGGTCTGTGAAAGGCGCAATATAAATATAGATTACATACTTACTAAAACTGATGGATAGTGATGCTAAATGCTAACTGGTGATAGATAGAAAACAGCAGTGTGTTGCTATGGTAATTAGTATTTGCTCTTCTCTGGTGGAAACCCAAGAGCCTCAGATCCAGAACCAGTCCTGGACCAGAACCTTGAGAGAAAAATAAAGTTGCTTTACGGCCTTATTGTAATTATGTCATTAATCTGTCCAGGGACTAAGGACAGCATTTAGGCTAAAACTGTTTGTATGACTTATGTTTATTTTGTGTTGTCCCCTCAAATACATACATTCATAAAATATGTTCCAAGAGTTAGAGTCAGAAATCTTGACTTTTCAAGTCATTTCCATACAGATGCTAGCCTGGCTCTAGCCGAACTTTAGCATGAAGTTCATAAAATGCCCGCTGGAACTTGTAGGCGGGGCTAAAGTTTGTCTAGAGCGAGGCTATAAAGTTTCAGAAAAAGTCAAATAGTTACGAAGACCAAAAATGTACATGTGCTGAGTCAGTAGGCAAGGCAAGGCAAGTTTATTTATATAGCACAATTCATACACAAGGCAATTCAAAGTGCTGAACAAAACAAGAAAGAATTAAAATCATAAATAATCACAGAACATTAAAAAGAAAGATACAAATATAAAATCCCTCAGTTGTAGCACAGTTAAACAGAACTGTCTTTAACCTGGTTTTAAACATTGTCAGAGAGGAGGCCTGTCTCACATCTTCAGGAAGACTGTTCCAGATTTTAGCAGCATGAATCTGAAAAGCAGCCTCCCCATGTTTAGTCCTGACTCTGGGCACTAACAGGAGTCCAGTCCCCAGTACACTTCCAAAACTGAAAGCTGTCAAATTGACTGCTCTTAAAGTTGTGGGTGTTAATGAAACGTGATCATGGAATCAAATCTGTTGATGTAAAGCACTGAAACATGCTCAATCGTTCGTCTGTTGTTTCTACTTTTCATCCCCTTCCAACACAACAACACCGTGAATCCACATCACTCTAATTGAAAGTCTATACGCGACTTTTCTGCCGAAGAACAATCCATCCGAGCTTTGCCAAAAACAGCAAAGCCTTTTACACGACTCAAGCAAAAGCGCATATAATAATAATTAATATCCATTTGGAAATCTGGGCTCCTGCTGCAGAGAGAGCGCCTAATGGTGACAATAAACCCATAAAAGATTCTGTGCGGGGCCCGGTGCTGACGCGCTGTCTAAAACCTCAATAACACACTTAAATATGGCCCCTGTTAGCCACTTCCACCGCTAACTGATATCTTCATTAGCCTCTGGGAAGACATAACACTACAGCTCATAACTTAGCGTGCGGTTTCTTGACGCGGGGGTCCTGGGTGCTAGCTAATGGATGGCGGCGCGGGGTTAGCTTGTGTGGTTTTGGGGGTATTCGTCAGTCTCAGCGTGTGACCTTTCCGACGCAGACGCTGGCTAACGTATGTGCGCGCTAACAAGAAGCTGGAACGAATCCGTCTCCGGGGCCTTGTAAA